TTGGCCATGGCAGAGGTCTTTGAACTCATCCCACGTCGGAGGCCCCTTGTGAATTTCATAGTGAAAGTACCATTCCTGTGCGTTGTCGGCGAGGTGGTACGTTGCCAACCCAACACGATCACTGTCATGCGTCTTCTGGCCACAGAAGAATTGCTCACAGTGGTTGAACCTGTTGAGCGGATCGTCCTTGTCATCATACTTGGGGAACTCCAATTTGTAGAAACGAGGAACGCTGGTAGCGCTGCCCGTATCCTGTGGTCCTGTCACCAATGGCGGCGATTGGCCCGTCACGGCAGGCGTACCCAGGATGCCACTGCCGCCCAAACAAGGTGCGATCTGTGGCGACGATGATGACATCGTGCCCTGGAGTTGTTCCAGGGATGTGATGCGTGATGTGGCCACCGCAACGGTCCGACTGAGATCAGCTAGATCGTGCTTGGAAGCCAACAATGATCACATCCCTGGAACCTTCTGACATTTGGTCTTGGAGCTTGGTGGGCGAGTCGGTGGGTTTGAGAATGGGTTGTTTGTGGATGGAGAGATCTTCTGACACCATGGTCTTGGAGCTTGGTTGTTACGAGCTCCGGTGTATGATCTAATGGGGTAGGAGTGAGTAATCGGTGGCTGAGGTTTCGGCAACTTAATTAGAAGATCGGCGACCCGTGGTAGTGGCACAGAAGAAGAGATGAGAAAACAGAGAAAGAGATGGGAAACAAAGTGGAATCTTGCAAGCTGATTTCAATCCCAAATGCCCTGTAAATAGGCTTACAAATCTAACTTAATGCCTAACAAATAATGAGGAAAATGTGGAGATAACAATCCAATCTCAATTAAACTTATCATTGGCTAGGAGTGTAGCTGTCCGACACGGCCGCTGTTAGGCGCCCGTGCTCGCGTCGCCTGCTCCTGTGCGCGCTACACCTTCCGCGTCGCGTGTCTTCCTCCTTCGGTTGCAGACGATGTGTCACGCCCAGAAATTGCTAACCTGAATTTTAAGCAGAATGTGTATTAAATATCTGTCCAGGGCCAGCCACGTCTTACAAAAGTAATAAAATAAATCTAAAAAATGCAACGGAAAAAGCAAATAAACAAGACTTAATCTTCACGACCAAAAGTATAGCTTCCTCCATAAACTACAGGCAATCCTTGACGTCCGGAACAAGCTCAATCCTCAGAGAACTCATCATCTGAACCAATTTCTGCCTCTGGGTGGGTGGGGGTGGGGGGGATAAAACAAGACTGAGTACCAACCACTGTACTCAACAAGTCATACCAACGGGAAGGTATGATGCAAGGTATTCTCAAAGGAGTGGCTCATTGGATATTTGCAATAAAAGCAACATTTATAAATCATTATTTTGAATGAGTAAAAACAGTGTATAATTAAGTAGTATTAAATCATCATTGTCCAACGCTAAATCCACGTTGCAACAGGTCCAACCAAACCACCTGAACTACACCAGTTCTATAAGTCATATTATTATAGTGGGACTAATCACGGTGAACTGGTTGACCACCCAATAACCGCAAGCACGGCTATTCGAATAGTTTTACCTCTGATCAGAGGTGTACAACTTTACCCACAAGACATGATTCCACACATGTTACCATGCTGATGTTGACTAGGGTTCCCGATCTTCCGAAAGGTTCTAATAGGTAGTCGATTTGGACGGAGTCACGACACAGTTCGATCCGGCTTCTAAACAAACACGCTCTTGAGCCCCGCAATCGCAGCACCACGTCTCCTCTGGTTATCACCCGTGTTGAAACACGGATGACCTCGCCGAGAAGGCAAATCCCTGTTTGCGAATCGAAGAACACAAACAAGAACAAAGAAGAATACAACCAAAATTGCAAATAAATGATAAAGCTCACGAGTTGGGGTCTTACAAACCGATCTAGCGGCGAAACTGTTCTTGACAGAATAATCTAAGCAAAACCCAAACCCTAAATATGACGACGGGTATTGATATATAGAATTTAGGGTCGTGTAAACAACCCTTGACGCAACCCTAATGGGTTCCAACACGATACACGGCCTAAACGCCCAAATACGATGACGCAGCACCGGAATAGATTATGGACGTTAAATTGTTCGGTCGATTCCCGTTGACTTGGAAAGAATTTGAACGTGGGACCAGAACCATTGGAAAGGTTATGTTCTAAGTTTTCCATCCATATAAGGAACGCCCCAATCCGTGCACATATGCGACTTGGGCGCCTGTTTTAGTGCAGACTGGTCCTGGACTCTGAATCGTACTCGAAGTCGACCTGGTTTGGGCCTCCATATTGACTTGGACGTCCTTGATGATCCTCCATGCCTCTAAGTCCCTCTCTAAGTCCTTGTCCTCTCCTTTATTCCTAATCACAATATATTCATTAGGTAGCAATCTATTCTCAAAATCATATAAAGAAGAATATAGGAACGAGCTCACCTCTAAATTCAATTGTCGCGCACGAGCTCTTGTTATTGGTCCTTGAATGACCGGTGGAGGATTGTTGTATGTATCTGAAGGAGTGATGTCCTCATCACATGCCCTGAAGTACCGCCACGATACTGCAAAGGGGGAAATCGTGACAAAACCCATCATATAACTCTCCCTAACCAAACATACCCATCTCAGGTTTCACCCCCTCCTTATGCCAAGTCGGGCAATCCCCTCTCGTGCCTAGGTAAATCCGGAAACAACAGAGACAATTATCTAGGTCTGAACCGCACAATCGCCTCTACCCTTGCCATGGTATGTTAGCTAGGTTAAGTTATACTCTAGATTAAGCCTGGAGCCCATGCTGGCATGTGATAAGAACGAGTATATCTTCCATGGATTCCCGAGAACCGGTCCTTAATTGTCATGGGTACGACTTCCAAAATCATGCATGTACCCACAACCCACCATTAAAGCATATTTTAGTTTAATTAAACCGTAACCATGGTGGTACATCATCATACAATTAAGGACTAAATTATAATGAATCCCATTGTGAGCTAATTGATCTAAGTATGGCTAAGCATTCCTAAACCAATCACCTAGTCAATTATAACTCAAGTTATCAATGGCATAAGATATTCAACATGCTGAGTACGATAGGCATCCATCCCACATGACATTCTAAAACAATGCAATTTAATAGAAAGTAGGGGATTTTGTAAAATAGACTCAACATGATCAATGATGTATGTATGACTTGCCTTGCTCTTGAGCTGACTGAATCTCGGCAACCACTTGGAAATAAATTGGATCTCCGGAACTGACGGAATCTAAACGACAACAAAGCATACAAGAAATACAAGCAATAAGGCTACTGAAACAGCAAAATAAACCAAATTTTTTTATCTTGTTCTGGACGTCGAAGATTGCATGTGGTTTATGGTGGAAGCTATGCTTTTGGTCGTGAAGATTAAGTCTTGTTTATTCATTTTTTCCGTTGCATTTGTGAGATTTATTTTGTTATTTTTGTAAAACGTGGATCTAGATAGAGATTTAATACACATTCTGCTTGAAATTCGAGTAAGCGAATTTCTGTCCGTGACACGATGCCAACCATGACACTTCGGTATCATCTCGTATGCAACGTATGCCCGCATACATGTTCATATATATGTATAGTTGTATTGGTCGGCTCTGATACCATTTGTAACGCTCAAGGCCCGAAAACGATGTGGCTCTTAATTTTGGATATACTTTTGAGTATGTGGAAGGAAAATGGAGGGAGTGGAATATTTAGAGAATTAATTATGGGCTAAATGAGGTTTTGGATTTGGGATGGGAGGATAAAATATATTTTCTTGCAATTATTCTAAAAATATTATTCTTCTGCCAAGGTTGGAGTCAAGCTATAGAAATTAAATTACAGACTAGATAGGAATTGACTATTGGAATATTTATATAAAAAAATTGGATAGAGGAGAATTAGAGATAACTCTAGATCCAAGGTTTTGGTTAAGGATTAATTCGAATGAAATCAGAATTACGGTGGTTGAAGTTCAAGGGCAATATCAGAGGATTTCTTAGACCATAATTCATACAAGTAAAAAGTTTTTCAATTAAATTAAATAAAGGAATTTTAGTCTAAAAAAGTTTTGAAATTCGAAAATAAAATTCAATCACAAAATTCATCAATTTAGCCAAATATATTTTTAAATAAAAAACACAATAGAAATTAAATGTTGGTTAGTTTGAGGAGGTTACTCTAATTATTCTCCTAGGTTTAGAAGGTTATTAAGGTGCTGAATTAGAAAATAATTATTTTTAGGATGTTACAACAGCACAGGCGTGGTTCGAGTTTTCACGCCACGTGCCGTCGAGGCGGTCGAAGAATGCGTTGCGGCTCAGCAGGAGCTCGCGCGGAGTCAACACATCAGCGTAAATCCAAATTGGCGCGCTAGGGCTAGTCGACATGTACTCGCACTGTGAAAGGCGGGCGTAATTAAATAGAAGGAAAACTATGCAGGTAGGAAATTAATCACCGCAAGACAAAGAATAAAGTAGTACTCACTCCGGGTTGATAATAATTATCGTTTTGGACATGAGCATGGTCTTAAAAAAAATTAACCATTATTTTTTATTTTAATATGTGTAAAATTTTTAACAAATATGTGATTTTATTAAAGTATTTTTTTAAAACTAATTTATATATGTAGTCACTGTATTTGAAAGATAAATATTATAAAAATGATTTATAATCAAAGATACTAAAGTTTGACCTAACTCCTATGTAAAATAATAAGTATTATCAACCCGGAGAGAGTAGGTTTTAGGTTTCAAATCATCATCGATACAAGTTCCAGGTTGCAGCTGCGAGAAGCACTTATATGCGAATGGGCCATGCCTGGGCCGGCACTGCCCGGCACGAAGTGCCGACCGTACCGTGCCGGCCCGATCACTGGTGGGCCGTACCTAGCGCGTGCTTGGGCCGGGCTGTGCCGTGCCGGACGGGTCCTGTGGCCATCTATATATGCGATATGCGGCGGACAGTTTGAGAAAATGACAAAAGTATGATGTAGCACAGTATTACACAGTGATATGTACTAATCATAAAAATAATTTTTATAAATAAGACGTTAAGTCAGACGTTGGATATAACCAGTGCAAAACTGCACTTATTTTATTTTATGACGGATGTAGTACTCCCTAGAGCGAGAACCGCGATGCAGTATCAAGCAATCACAGCCGTTGATTCCTTCTCTTCACAGTCTTCAGAACAGAGTCCGATTTTCTTCAGAGTTGTGACAGCTGTCGATCTGATTAACGACGCGTGACGTTCCGTTTTCAGCCCTTGAGCCTTCTCAGCTCCGCCACGAACTCCCGCACGAACCTCCTCTGCACGGCGTCGTCCATCAAGAACTCCCGCCATTTCTTCTCCTCGCCGCCGCCGTCTTCTCCTCCGGCGAACGCCGCCGCCAGCGCGTCGCGCACGTCCTCACGCCCGAACCACCCGTCGCGGGCGCGGCGCGCGACCTCGGTGCCCACGCGGAGCTCGCGCGCGAACAGCGCGGCGTTGAGGTACTGGTCGCCCTTCATCGGCAGCAGCACGAGGCGGCAGCCGGCGACGAGCCCCTCCACGACGGAGCTGAGCCCGGAGTGGTTGACGAAGCAGCCCACGCTGCGGTGGCGCAGGATGTGCTGCTGCTGCACCCACCCGGTGTGCAGGATCCCTCTCCCCTTCACCCTCTCCTCCAACCCCGGCGGCGTGAGCTTCCTCAGCTCCGCCTCGGCGTCCGTGCCCTTGGGGAAGTTGAGCACTGCGAGGAACGGCAGGGCGGTGGCCTCTAGTCCGAGGAGGAGCTCCGTCGCGGCGGCGTGCAGCAGGAAGGTCTCGCTGCCGAAGGAGGCGAACACGACGGAGTTGTCCGGGAAGGAGGAGAGCCACGTCGCCCACCGCTCCTCCAGCTCGCCTCGCGGCGGCTCCGGCACGATGGGCCCCGTCACGAGCACCGGCTTGCCGTGCTCCGCCGCGATGTAGTCGATGTAGGGGCCTTCCATCTCGGCGCAGGTCTTGATGACCAGGGCGTCGCAGGCGTTGTGGCATGCGGCGACGCGGTCGTACACGCACGGCATGCCGTGGAAGCTCTCGAACACGTAGCTGAAGTCGGCGGCCTGGTAGGCCGGCACGGTGGCGAGCGGCGACGACGGCGGGAACCCCTCCGGCGCCGACGCGAGGTCGTCGACGGTCGGGCGCCCCGGCCCGGGGAGGCGGCGGCGCGCGGGGGCCATGACGTACGCGCCGGAGACCGCGGCGAACACGGAGAAGAGCGCTGCCTTGACGCCGAGCGGCCTGGCGACGTCGACGACCCACGGCGTGGCGAAGTCGAACAGCACGACGTCCGGGTGGAGCCTCGCCAGCAGCGCCTCCACCTGCGGCCGCGTGCCGTCGACGGCGAGCTTGAGCAGCTCGGCACCGTCCGCCGACACCTCCGCCGTGCTCTCCGCGCCCTCGGGGAGCCCCGGCACGCGCGGCAGCTCGAGCGCCGCCACGGTGGACGTGCCGCCGGTGCCGCCCAGCATGGCCTCGACGCGGGGCACGTTGGCCGCCGCCGACAGGAACGTGACGCGCACCCCGGCGCCGACGCCGGCCATCTTCCGCGCCAGCTGCGCGAACGGGCTGATGTGGCCGAACGCCAGGAACGGGAACATCACCACGTGCAGGTCTCCGTCTCCACCGCCGCCGCCGGCCGCCGTCGCCACCGGCGCCGCACCGGCGCTTCCCATCGTCACTCACGACGAACGTGGATTGCAATCGAGGGCAGTGAACGGAGACGGTTGGCGAGGACTTTGGCATTGGTTCTCGCGACTTTAAAAGGGAGATGGAGCTGTTCGGACACAGTACTGCGGCTTCTGTTCGGACACAGGACTGACTCGTGCTCGCTGCTCCTACCTAACCGCTCGGACATTTTTGCTGTTCTTTTTTTTTTACTTACTAGCAAAAATGCCCGTACATTTGCAACGGGTGAAACAATTCTAATTACAATATACGTTTTTCATGCATAACCATATCAATGATAATATTTATATAGATTGTTTATAGCTAAAACAATCAGAAAATTAGAACATCTTCAATGTAATGGCCCAACCTTGATGATGACAACTTTACCGATGCTTTGCTTTACCTAAAATAATTGGATTATTTATATGACACCATGCATATAATTTAAAATACTCTTCCAATGTCATTCTTGCAACCAATAATAAGATCAATCAAATCCTACAGTGCCTCGCATGGTCAATTCTAGACAAAATAGAGTTATTTTGTACTTTTCTCTAAATAACAATTAAAATATGTTTATTTTTTAATATTATTTTCATATAATATGTTATCCAAAATAGTAGCTATACTTAAAAAATAGTCTAATAATTGCCTACAGAATATGTAGGGTTTTCAATACAGGAGAATAGATAAAGAAACAAAAGCTAGGTAGGTAGGAGATGAAAAAAAAATGATGGATCATATCCGACCCCAAGCGTCCATCAATTTAGCATTTTCTTTACAGTTTTTTCAAGAGCAACTTGTTTTTTTTATGACCGATGTTTTTTTTTCTTGTGCGGTATTTTCAAACCATTTTTTAGAAATGGCGCGTTTTTTCCCTTTTTTCTATCAGTTTTTTCCTCGCATGTTTTTTTTGCTTTTTTTTACAGGCAATGGAAATATTTTTTTCCCGCGCTTTTTTTATGGACAACGGAAAATTTTTTCTATCGTGTTTTCTTTTGCTCTTTTTTCTAACTTTTTCTCACGCGTTTTTATTTTCTCGCACATTTTTTCTGACTTCCTTTTTAAATAGTTAGATTATATTAGATTAGAGATAGAGAAGAGATGATAATGACTATTAAAACGAATAGAAATCGGATTTTTTTTTGCCGCGCCTTTTTTCCGCCCTTTTTACTTTTTTTTTCTCACCTTTTTTTTTGCCACTTTCTTAGGGAGTCCGACCTTTTCTATTTTTTTTATTTTTTACGATTTTTTTCTTTTCTCCTTTTATAGGAATCGGATTTTTTTATTGCTTTCTCCAATTTATGGAAAATCAGACCTATGTTTTTCTTTTCCTTTTTCACCACTTCTGTTCCCCTTTTATAGGAATATGATTTTTTTTTTATATTTTGCCGTTTTAGGAGGAATTGGATCTATAGCGTGTTTTTTTTTTGGCTTTTTCGCCACTTTGGGAATCGGATATTTTTTTCGCTGTTTTTTTATTTTGACGGACGACGGAAACACTTTTTATTTTTTAAGTAGTAGAAGAGACTAGCGTAATGCCTCCCGTTGCAACATGTCCTAAATAACATTCATCAACATAAATAAAAATCCTAAACCATATATTACAACTGAGCATAAATAATAAAGGAAATATAATCATAGAAATAACAACATGACACTACAAATAATTTTGACCGGAATTATTAATATAATGCTAAAGTCCCCTTTTATTCATATAGCTATAAATAATTCAATGCGAAGGAAAAATATAAGTTTCAATAATTTTTATTGGATCAAATAGTAAAACAAATACTGTAAATAGAAAAACAACTGAAAACTAAATTTAGCTAGAAATTGAAAAAACTTATTTTAGCCCATAGATGAAATATTAATTTTGAACGGGTACTCGTTTCTTTGACATATATTAAAATTTTCCAATTCACCAAACGGTAGCGAGGAAAGTGTCCGGATGTGTTCCACGATGTGACTCGTCCATAGATAGCGGTGGTTGGCAACAAAGAAAACCAAAACAACAGAAACGCGACCAACAACGATGTGGTCCTAACAGGATTAGAAACGCCAACAACGAGCTCTAGTGGTGAACACGGCCGGGTGAGTGCGTTAAAACACGTTCGTGAATGAGGTGATTCCTTTTTCCTTGGACGTGCTATTGTTGGCATCGAAGAAAACTGAATTACCAAAACAATGGGAATGCGGGAGCCAACGACATGGTCCCGGTAGAGAAACAGCAACTTGACGAGCTCTGGTGGTGAACACGGACAGGTGAGTGTGTCAAAACGCGTTCCGAGATGAGGGGATTCCGTTTTCCTTGAACACGCTGCGGTTGACAACGATAGCAAGAACACGAGTGGCAATGAAGTGGTCCCCGGAAAACAACAACAACGATCTCTGATAGTGAACACGGCCAGATGAATGTGTCAAAATGTGTTTCCGAGTGAGGGGGGTTCCGTTTTAGTTAACACGAGGGAGGAACGAAAGACAAACAGAAATCAACTAACAATATTCATCATCTTCCCTAGCGCTGAAGCCAGTGTGCTTCGGGAGGACGCACTGGCGAGAAGGGATGGAGGGTCGGGAGAAGAGTGGCGCACTGGGAGGAGATAGCTGCTAGAAGGGAGGGGGCGCACGGGAGGATAGGAGTGCTGGGACAATGGGGCAACAGGGAGGGGAGGCGCCAGCAGAAAGCCGCGGGAGAGGAAGGGAGCATGGGGCCGGATTGGACACGTATGCACGATGTATGGAAAATTTTGGACGGACGAACTAATTTTTGGTTGGAAGCAGATTTTAATCTTTTAGATTGCTTACGGTCGTTAGCGATCAGTTTCGCCCGTCAATATTACCAAAATAAAGGAGAACTAAGTCATGCTTGCAATGCATATTGTGTCAAAATAAGATATATTCCACTAGAACTAGGATTTCTAACCTCTTGCAGAGAATAAACATAAATAGAGGAGATTCGATAGCAAAACCATACAATAGATCAATCCTACGCTGTCGAGAATCAGACTTGAAGACAAATGGGCTGAGAACACCAAATTTACAAGACCCAGGAAGACCAAAATTCACAAGTCTGCGGAGAGGAGCGGAAGAGGAGGCCGCCTGCCAAAGTTTGGGCCGATTGGGCCAGCCCAGGGTTCGGCCGAACCAGCCGTAACGCCATCCGATGCAGGGTTTGGCTGGATGGTCTGGATTGCTTCCCTATGGTGGTTGGAGGGTACTACCGACCTTTCCAACCGCCATAAATGTCATTACCAGCCTATAAAAGGCCCTCACTCCCTCTATTTCAAGACACATCTCAAGCAAGAAGCTTCATACATTCTCTCAAGTTTAGTATAGTCTCTAGAGCATAGTGGAATAGAAATAGGATAGAATCTTCAGTCCCCGGAGTCTTCGGAAGAGTTCGGGTATGGCTCTAGTAGCTTTTCTTTCTTTTGTAAGACTTGTACTATTTATAGAATATTCTTCTCAATATATTTACAGTACTTTACTTCACTGTGATTATTTGAGTACCGACTTTATAAGATATTATTCGAGATATAATTGTCTAGCTAGCTTACTCGGGAGATGCAATGGTGTGGGTATAATGTTCATTTATATGAATACTCTTGAGTCACGACGGTGATTGTAGAGTAGTATTTGGTAGATAAGCGAGGTGCATAGGCTATTGAATATCATTATTTGCGGTTATATGCTGTGGATACGTCAAGATGGGCCGTTGATGGTGACAACTCAGTACGGGTATTCCACCGCGTGTGTATATAATCCTAAGTTACTTTCCTGGGGAGGGTACTTCTCCGTATTTAGCCCTGGTTGGATGACCATGACGGGTTGTCGCAAGGAACTCGGCAACCAGGGGTGGTATCTCGAAATACCAGGATGGCATCGTAAGGGGTATTGGCTATATAATCATATAGTACTACCTCCGTCCCAAATACTTGTCGCTTTGATTTTGTTTGTAACTTTTGATCATTCGTCTTATTCAAAAAATTATAGAATTATTATTTATTTTATTTATGACTTTCTTTATTATCAAAAGTACTTTAAGTATGACTTATCATTTTTTATATTTGCACTAATTTTTCAAATAAGACGAATGGTCAAACGTTGCATAAAAAAGTCAAAGTGACCACTAATTTGGGACGGAGGTAGTAGATAATATCGACTAAAGTGTGTATGTATATTAGAAGTATAGGAAATGATTTTTTTTCATATTTTTTCCACTTGGCCTAGAATTAGTATGTATGAGAATAGTGAATGCTTCTGATTCGTGTCACCCTACCCTTTGAATTAAACTGACCCATGCCTAGACTTTGATTATTACAAGTAACATATAAATATTAGCTCGGTTCTCTCTATTATAATTTTCTCTCGGGATTAAACACATACGATACCCTTGGAATACTTTTAGGTGAAATGATATAATTGTATATCCGCACGCTTGCAGATGAAATTGTAACCATAATATACCACGAGTGTTTCTGCGCCATTGCTGGTAATTATATTTCTAGTAATGTCGTTAAGAAATACCAACATAGGTAAAGATAAAGACAAATAAAACCCTGTCACCTGTCAACTTATAGAAGGAAACCCAAATAACAATAGATATATAAACTTAACGAACAAGAGAAGATAAAATAAAAGACGAGAGTCGTATAATAAGATAGGAGAAGGCACCTACGCCGATGGATAAACAAGCAAACACAACAACACCCCCAACCACTTGTGGAGAGAGAAGTAAGGGGTTGAAGACCATCAAATCGATCAACCATTGGCGGAATGGCCTCATTCGATTGTTCACCCTGCTTTTGCTTGATGAGGACGAGTTTGCACTCCCAGCACTTCTGAAAACCAGTTTACGTGAGACTCCAGAGTTATATATTCACCCCTTTGACCTTGCCAATCTTCCTCTCAAACGGTTCTAGGGGAGAACACCGTAGCGCAGCTGAGAATGAGAAAAGGAAGATCCATATCACTTCAATTGTTTTTAACTCTTAGATGATTAATATATGGTCCAAACTATCTTCCTAATTTTCTTCTCTCATAAAGTCATATTATCTTACTTTTGCATTTGAATCATCATTCTATATACCACTTACT